TCTTTATATAGTTGGTAGGAGTCAGAACATGTTTCTTTTTAGCTGAAAAACATTACACCAGGTAACCTGCAGTGTTGGAAATGTGTTTTTCGGCGATGTTTGCTGTCCTACAATCCCTCCTGCTCTGTAGTAAAATCAGCGACATTTGACCGTCCTGTTGCTCCCACTGAAATGTATACAGCCTGTTTAAAACCTAAAACTTAAAATTGTCTGCAGCCTGCTGTTGTTACCACTGTCCTGTTTGAAATGGATACTAACTGACTGGATGCCCATTAACCTTATAACTCCTGGTGTGTGTGTGTGTGTGTGTGTGTGTGTGTGTGTGTGTGTGTGTGCAGACAGCCAGGTTCATAATGGATATAAGGAAGTTTTTTTTCAAAAAAAAAGAGCCACATTCAGGTAAAAGTGTAAAATCAAATGATCCCTCAATCAAGAATAATGTTGGATCAGTGTTTCAATATTTATATCTTTTATTAGATGTTCGTGTGGTTTGGTTATTTGCCTTTTGGTTTAAAGTACACTGAGAGAGGACTTTTTCATTAGTGATCTTAAAAGTATTTTTTCATATTAATGTAATTTTTCATCTAATTGAATCTATTTGTGTTCGATTGTCAGTCCAAAGAGAGGGGGAACGTGAGGAGAAAGTACAAGGTCAGGAAGAACCAGGTAAGCAAACAGACAGGGAGCAGTGACAGGCAGAAACTGTGAAACTGACAAAGAGAAAAACCTGATTTTGCTCACAGTCTGGAAGTTGTGTCCTCCCTGTATTAAAGCTGCTGTACAGAATCTGCTAAACAAACTGGGCTGAAACACTTTGAGCCTCTTTAACAACATTCCAACATAACATTATCATTGATCGGGGAGATTAAAATTAATGATATATTTTTATGTGGTTCAGCCACAGCTCTACTAAAACCTCAGCCAGTAATAGGGGGGCAACCTTTGGACCGTCCAGTTGTCTGCATGACTGCCGCAGTACGTGCATCACATGTGCTCACTATCAGAAAGAGCCAAACAGCCCTGGTGGAGCGAGCAGCTGTAAAGAGAAGCAGATGCTCTGTTTCTAAAATGTTTTAAGCTTGTTTCAAAGATTCTGTACAGCAGCTTTAAATGTTTTCCAAAAGCACACACACACTTATCAATGTTTCTCACACTTGTTACAGTGTGGACCACCTGATAAAAGGTCAAGCTGTCCCAAGCACCACTATGAAAGCATGAAAGTCATAAATCTTACAACACAAAATTAGTTTTACTAAATGAGTAAAATTAGCATCTGCAGTAAAGATTTTTTCATACATTGTATACATTCTACCACAGGCAAAGTTGCCTCTATTTTTATAGTTTTATTAATATTTTGTAATAATTTATTCTGTTTTGGGAGTGTTTTTTATGTGTCTGTATTATATTACACACACACTTTAAAAGTGAATCTCTGTCCAAAAATGCACTCAGTTTACTTCTTACTCACTATGAGCATCATTCATTATTCTCCCAGTAACTAAGGTTAGCATATATATTTTTCTATTCCAATCCATTCTTCTTTAGCAGCATTTAAATAACCTTTATCAGATTTGATGGTTTTGTTACAGACTTTTCAAAAAAGTGTTTTTCTTTTCTTTCACAAATGTGGGATTAATTGTGTTCAAATGTGCAAAGCAGTGATGTCATGTTTTGTGACGAGGACCCAGGCACAGAGAGACTTGATGAATTTAAGAATCTTATGATTTAATAAAGAAATTTGCAGACTTGCACAGAGATGGTAAAATTATGATGACTGATAATGGAGACGAAGACAACAGACGATGAGGACAGGGAGGAGCAGGGGTTTAAATGCACCAAGGAGACATTCAGAGAGAACTCCGGGACAACGTTTAAGGATGCAGGGACTGACAGAGACGGGGTTTATCTTGCCTGGCTGGGCAGCTCTCTGGGTGCTCAGCACCCCCAAAGCTCTGATCCTAGAATCGCCCCTGTTTCAACACGTAACTGACGTCAAAGACTCCGCCTCCTCCGCTCTGTTAAAAAATTTAAACACCACCTGGGTCTGGGTGCAGTTCCCCCTCCAGGGCAAGGGTACATAGACCCGGTTTGTAGAGTACGCTTGGGGAGTGTGATCGTGTGCACAGCGTCTCTTTATGTCTGTCTCCACGTTGGTTGAGTGTGGAGTGAGTGCATATGAGAGCATGAGGGTGGGAATGGATGTTTGTGTCTGTGTGTGCCTGTATGTCTGTGTCTATATGTCAGGTTGGGTGTCAGGCGCCACCTCTCTGGGGACATCTCAGGCCCTCCAAGGTTTGGAGGCCTATCTCCCCCTACCACCACTTTCCCTGCCAGTGGCGGACTCCCTCAGACATCGGTGCGTTGGTGGTTCTTTGTGTCCGGGGATGGGCGTCCAGGTACACACCGGCTCACTCCTTGGCGGCTGCTGAGTGAGCCCTCATCTGGGACTCTCCTCAGCTCTTTCTGGGACAGTGGTGGGCTGCCCTCTGTTGGTCTTCCTTGGTCTCTTGTGTTCTGGGGGCCTCTGGATGTCTGGAGTTTTGATCTCCTCCATACCTGCTTCATGCCCTGGAGGACGGGGCTGTGGCCCCCCCACACCCTCTAGCAGATCATTACATGAAGGAACCTTTTAAAAACAAGCGCGTCCATGCTCACAGGTGTACACACGGGTGATCACACCCACAAACTACACCCTTTTTGGCTCCTACCTCAAAGCACACTGTGTTCTGTTGATCTTATGTGCTGCACAATAATGTTTAACATTTAGTATTTACTGTCATATTCCCATATATCATTGTGATGTTGTTTATTCTATTACTCTTGTTCTCTTCTGCTTGTTTTCTTTTTCTTTCTCAGCAGGTGATCCAGGTGATTGATATATGCATTTTTTTTTCTCTGCCCGTTCTGTTGGTTTTTGTCTTTTGCCCTTCTCCCCCGTCCCTCTTCTCAGCTGTTTCTCTTTCCCTCTTTCTTTCTCCCCTTCTTTCCCCCAGTCAAGTCTGTCCCGTATTCAGCAAGTGAAAATAAAATAAACAATAAAAGGTGAATCAAATGGACCATTACGGCAAGGCTGGGACGGTCCAGTTGGTAAAGTAAATCCGTTGGGCATCTTTCTTTGCCTTTAGACAACAATTCTGATGGCAAAAGAGCCAAACGGACAGGCAAAAAAAAAAAAAATTTAAATTATTATTCAGAGAGCTTCAAATGTTTTCATGAACATCACACAGCAGCACAAAGCTGTTTCATCTCCGCTCAGATGAAAAGGTGTGAGCCTCGATGTTTCGCAGTCCCCGTCTCTTCTTCCAGTCCTCAGCTCCTCAGGCTCACCTGAAGATTCTCAGGTGAACTCGTTTGCACTCAGCCATTCACTGCAGTGAAGTTAAACCCGTACACTGCTGTGTGTGTGTGCGTGCAAAGGAGTGCTTAAAGGTTACAGTGGTGCTGAGGTCCAGTTGGCCCTACCAGCGCCCCCCACTGGCCATAGGGTGTACAATCAATCTATTTCACCGAGTGTTCTGGCGTCTCACAGTGATCAGAGTGTCAGCTCTCATATTTATCAGCAGTTTATCACAGAGAGGAGAAACTAAAAGTTTACAGCAGCTGCTGGTGCTCAGATGAGACAATCAATTGACAGACAGATAATCTGCAAACAGCAAAGCAAGCTGAGACAGAAAAACAAGCCGCAGCATCTTTGTGATAAAGTTTTAATTTCAGCTGGCGTGTGAACATTAAAGAACATTTTACAGACGTCATTGATTCAACAAGAAAAGCCTTTGATCTGATTTTTGTTTACCGAGTTGAATTTTCTCTCAGACAGGAGAAGAGCAGGTGAGTTTAACCTGGTAGTGGAGCCTCTAGTGGCTGAAAGGAGCATTACAAAAACAAGCTGCTGTGATCCAGCTCTTCTTCAACACGCGATAATGATAATAATGATAATAATAATACAAAATATAATAATGTATACTTTATTGGTACCTTGCTCAGGTACCTCAGAGCTATCCCTGCTGGTGTTTGTGCGCATACCTCGACTGACACTGTTTGATCGATCAGTTGATTGAATCACTGATCTGATTCATGAGGTAGGAATAGAGCGAGCGGGGAAAGGCGGATGTTGTGAAGATGAAGTCTGTAAAACTCTGGGAGTTTCCCCTGAGCCGGAACGATTTAAGGAGCATTCTGCATTTTCCGTCCTGCTGGCTTTCAACAGCGTGAGCAGAGCGCTGTACCTGCAGGGAGGACGTGAGGGTGGCGCTTCACCTGAATTTGGAAGTTCAAAGTTGACCTGAAACACATGGCAGTGTGGAATAAAGCGTAATGGCCCTTTAACCTGCTCTTCCCAGGCTGGATGGAGACTCAGTGAGGAAGCTTTGGAATAATGAACAAAACATGGACACATCTGCTGAGGCTCAATTCCTCCAAAGAAGGACTCATCCAGGCTGGAGAAACTGATCAGGAGGGCTAGCTCTGTGGTCGGCATGAAGCTGGACACTCTGGTGACAGTGCCAGAGAAAAGGACATTAAAGAAACTGATGGACATTATGAACAATGCTGGGCATCCTCTGCACACGGCCATAAACAATCAGAAGAGTCTGTTCAGTGACAGGTTGCTTCTCCCCAAGACAAGAACTAACAGACTTAAAAACTCCTTTGTCCCACACGCCATCAGACTGTTTAACTCCTCTCTGGAGGGGAGAGGAGGGGAGACAGGGGGACAAAGGAGGGAACAACTAAGCTGTAGTGCCTCTTCACCTCACTGTGCAATACCTTTTGTGCAATACTTTTGTAAATAGTCAACGGTGCAATAGACTCAATACTTGAAATGTGCAATTCACTTGTATTTTTATTTTTATTCCTATTTATTCTATTTATCCCTTCGTATATTTTATTTATATTGTCTCTGTATTTATATATATATGTGTGTGTGTGTATAACTCTGTAACTTCTGTCGGTGCTGTGCTTTTTTGGAAATCGAATTTCCCAGAGGACCCACCCGAGGGATTAATAAAGTTCTATCTTATCTTATCTTATCTTATGTTTTTTTTCCTGCGGCCGATGTGATGGACAACAAAGTTATTCTAATGCGTGATGGTGACACCAGAAGTTACATGGAGATCAGACTCCTGCCTGAGCTGTTCTCAAATGTGTTTGGACTCTGAGGCTCAGGATGATCATGGCTTCACAGCCAGATGTCGGAGGTACAGTCTCCGCCGGGGTACCGCAGCTCGTGGGCCAGAACCGGACCGTCGGGCTCTTTTACCAAAATCCACCAGGAAGTCCTCATTCAGGCCAGACCGCCATCCACAGTGTCCACATTGATCTGCATCATCACTGATCCCTCCCTGAGCACAGACACAGTAATAAGCATGTGCACACATGAGCACCACAGCAGCATCCTGTGAGTCATGAAATAGGTCCAGGTGGACTGAGGTGGAACCCCTGTGGGGTCAAGGATCGCACCTGATCATGTCGGGGTAAAACTGTTTGTCCCAGCCGCTGTACAGAGACGTGGTCGTGTAGAGGCGCCGCCCGTCCAGACTGAGCTGCAGCATCTGAGGACTTCCAGCGATACGCTTCCCCTGAGATGGACACAGGTGAGACACAGAACAGTTGGGACGGATGTACAGCATGAGGAACATTTAAATCCATTTATGTCTCTGCAGGTGCAGTCTACACCTGTACCCCCTCCTGGGGTTATCGTGTAACCATGGTTACTCTATCAGGGCTAAGAAGACACCGGTTCTTCTACAGAGCGACAGGTGTGCTGCTTCCTGCCTCTCTGCTTTGTGATACCTTTATGATGCAGGGGCGGGGCTGCTCCTGGTTCTCTGGGTCCTCCAGGACTCTGATGGGTCCGTCCCTGACAATGCTTCCTCCAAGAACACCTGGAAGAGACAGACAGATAAGCGGTCTTGTGCTAACGATCCACATATTCAGTGACATCACCCGACAGGGTGATAAAACCACACCTGGCGACGAGCCGTGGGTTCTGCGGTCTGTGATGTCATATTGTCTGATGTCACCATGCAGCCAGTTACTGAAGTACAGATAACGGTCATCCAGTGAGATCAGGATGTCTGTGATGAGACCTGCGCAGACAGACAGGTGATGTGGTCAGACAGGTGAAAGACTGCAATCAAAGGGAAATGACTGCACTCACCTGGCATCTCGGGCAACATCCATCCCCCACCTTCTTACTAGGAATGCTGATGACCTTCTCTGCGGCCCAGTCCCCCTCCTGAGACACAGAAAGCATGTTAGCTTCAGCATGCTAACACGCTAACAGCTAGCATGCTAACATCGGCTGTCTGAGGTGGGGTGGTTCCAGCAGCTGGTGCCGGAGCACAGGTGAGTCGCACCTGTCTAACCTTCAAACCTGCTGAATGTTCACCACCAGTGTTGGTCAAGTTACTTGAAAAAGTAATCAGTAACTAATTACTGATTACTCCCCCCAAAAAGTAATCCCGTTACTTTACTGATTACTTATTTTCAAAAGTAATTAATTACTTAGTTACTTAGTTACTTTTTAAAAACACGATTTACAACCTGAAGAGGTGATAAAGTGATAGATCTTTCAGCCCAATTCTACTTTTTCTACATAATCCATCATACAAAATGTAATCAAATGGAAAAGTCTCTTTTTTTAACTTGTTTATCAGTTTTAATCTTTTAACTTTATGCATCAAGCAAAACATTAATTTATGCACATTCTCTGACTTGAATAAATTAGTTTAACATTTAAACCTATTTTCTACACATTCCAGCACATAAAATAAAATATTTTTGTGTTTCACTCAGTCTTTCAAATAGATGCAAGTAAACACAGCAGAAAATAAATAAAGTCAAAGACTCAGCGGTCCTTTTGCTCTATTTTCACCTGTAAAGCAGGAGCAGGGTAGGCGGAGGGTTACCCTGGTGCAGGTGTGCCGCGGTCAGTGGAAGAATCCGCGAGTGTCTCTGTGAGTTTCCCATCACGTCGTAGCTACTCGGTGCTTGTGGAAGTTTAGGGGTTTTTTCGCTGTAAAAAGAAGTTTTCTTCCCACGCACAGCGGACACTAATGTTTTTGTCACTTTTTATGGAATCAAACTCAAAGTAAGGTCAGTACTTCCACACTTTAAACGCTGCACGCTCATACTCTCTCTGCACTCGATATTTATCCATTGTTGATCTGCACACAGCTGCTGTCACCAACGTCGCACTTGCTTACGTCACTGTCATGAGACATTCTCGCAAAAAATCACGGTTTTAGTAACGCAGTAACGCAGCGTTCCTACGGGAAAGTAACGGTAATCTAATTACCGATTTTGCAATAGTAATCCCTTACTTTACTCGTTACTTGAAAAAAGTAATCAGATTACAGTAACGCGTTACAAGTAACGCGTTACTGCCCATCTCTGTTCACCACAGTTTGCTTTTCCAAACTCGTCTTCCTCGTTTATTGCCTGCAGAGATCAGCTGATCATCTTTAACAGAACCACACACTCACTGCCGTTTTGTAGAATCTGAAGACGGTTGAATTCAGTGCACAGCCCACGTAGCCCTCAGCGGCACTCGGCTCATGGAGGAACCGGACCTCCAGTGGAATGGCGCCCTCTTCTCCTAGATCAAGCCTCTGCAGCTTCTTGTGGGTGGTCCAGTCCCAGATATTCAGGGCGCTGCCATAGAGCCCTGCAACACAACAGAAACCCAAAGCGTCTCAGCTGATGGATACTTATATTGATAAGGATTACTGGGACCAGAGCCGGGTCCAGAACAGACGGACACGAAAGAAGCAAAGAGGGACACTGGGAGGAGGTTCAGACTCTTCCTCTTACTCACCTTCTTGGACATGAGCTGGATTAAAACCGTTAACCAGAGCTTTGGGCGCTCCCACTCGGTGCTGATCATCACATTGTGCCGAGGCTGGTACCAAAAGTCGTAGCCGAACGGCGCCGCCTCGCCTTGGTGCTCCCAGTTACTGATCACCTCGAACGTCTCACCATCCAGAAGAACAAAACCACCTGAGTGAAGATGAGCAGTTAAACTCAAAGACCGGCCTGACCCATGGGCTTCTGGAGTCCCATTTGCCTCTCAGCAAACAAAAGGGGCGGTGGCGTGCAGGGTTTGCGATATGGCCTAACCTTTGGCGTTACCGGACGGGTCTCCCATGCAGCTGATCATAATCTGACCACTGCCCAGGCAGTGGCTGGTGTGAGGGTTCGCCAGGCCGCACTTCCAATACAGCTCGATGGGCTCCACCATCTGAAATGTAGTTAATATTCATCACACACACACACACACACACACACGCACACACACACAACACACACACACCACAAACACCACACCACACACACACAAACACACACCACACACACACACACACACAACACACACAACACACACACACACACACACACCACACACACACCACACAACACACAACAAAACAACACACACACCAACACACACACAACACACAACACACAACACACCACACACACACACACAACACACACACAACAACACCCACACAACACACCACACACACAACACACACACAACACACACACACAACACACACCACACAACACACAACCACACAACACACAACACACACACACAACACACACACACCACAACACACACACAACACACCACACACAACACACACAACACAACACACACCACACAACACACACACAACACACAACACACACCACAACACACACACACACACAACACACACAACACACAACACACAACACACACACAACACAACACACACACACACAACACACAACACACACACACACACAACACACAACACACGCACACACAACACACACAACACACCACACACACACAACCACACCACACACACACAACCACACACACACAACACACACCACACACACACACACAACACACCACACACACACACACACAACCACACAACCACACACCACACACACACACACCACACAACACACACACCACAACACACACAACACCAACACACCCACACAACAACCACACAACACAACCACAAACACACAACACACAACACACACACACCACACACACACACACAACACACAACCACACACAAACACAACACACAACACACCACACACCACACAACACACACCACAAACACACAACACCACAACAACAACACACAACAACACACAACACACCAACACACACAACAAAACACACACACAACACCACAACACAACACACAACACACACACACAACACACCACCACCAACACACCACACACACCACACACGCACACAACACACACACAACACACCACACACCACACAACACACCACACACACACACAACACACACAACACACAACACACACACACACACACACACAACACACACACACAACACACACACCACACAACACACAACACACCACACAACACACACAACACACCACACACACAAACACACCACACAACACACACAACACACACAACACAACACACACAACAACCACACACACAACACAACAACACACACACACAACCAACACACAAACACACCACACACAACACACCACAACACACACACACACACACACACACAACACACAACACACACACACCACAACAACACCACACACAACACACACACAACACACCAACACACAACACACACAACACACCACACACAACACACCACACACACACAACACACACACACACACACAACACACACACACCACACACACACACACACCACACACACACACACACACACACACACACACAACACACACACACACACACACACACACAACACAACACACACACACCACACACACACACACACACCACACAACACACACACACCACACACAACACACACACACCACAACACACAACCACAACACACACACACAACACACCACACCACCACACACAACACACACACACCCACACAACACACACAACACACACACACAACACACACACCACACACACCACCACACACAACACCACACACACAAACACACCACACACAACCACACAACACACAACACCACACCACACGCACCAACACACAACACACCACACACCACACAAAACACAACACACCAACACACACAACACACCACACAACCCACACACCCACCACAAACACACACAACACACAACACACGCACACACACACAACACACACACGCACACACACACACACACACACAACACACACACACAACACACACACACACCACACACACACACACACACACACAACACACACACACACACCACACACAACACACACAAATGAATAAATAGATGAAACCAGTAGTATTCATTTAAGCGTGGTCTATAACACCGCCCGGCCAAAAGCGCCTTTTTTTGTTGTTTTGTGTTAAAAACATTCAGCATTTAAAGACATTTGAATGTGTTTAAATGCTGAATGTTTTTAAAGAGCAGCTGTGCTTCATCGTCCAGCCTGAACTCTGGATGAACTCCTCCTCCTCCTCGCTTTCTGACAGCAGACCCAAAGGAGTCATCTGTCCAAATTTGAGGAGAGCAGCTGCTCTTCCTAAAGCTACTCCGTGCAGACTTCTCTGTGTGATCGCAGGTTTCTGCCACGAGGAGCTGAAAGCCCGTGGAGGGCACTGCTGCTGTCTGTGGGCCCCACACTCTCTGAAAGACCGGACGGGCCTCCTGACCTTACACTCCAGTCTTTAGTGCTGCGCCGGCCCTTTACGCAGCTTCCCTTTAAGCGATTTTCTCACGTCCCACCACACTGACCCTCCACGGTTGACACGAGGCCGACTGCCATCTTTAACCCCTAGCTCTCATCACATGGTCTGAGTGACAAAAGAGAGGAATATTCCAACAGATCCAAGTTCATGCCTGACAGACCTGCAGCAGCCTTCACTTTAACCCTCTGTCCATCCATCCATTCGCTTATCCTTTCCAGGGTCGTGCGGGGCGTTGGAGCCTATCCCAGCTGTCATAGGGCGAGAGGCAGGGTACAGCCTGGACAGGTCGCCAGTCTGTCGCAGGGCCAACACACAGGGACAGACAACCATTCGCACTCACATTCATTCGCACATTCACACCTAGTGACAATTTGGATTATCAAATCAACCTATCCCCACAAGCTGCATGTCTTTGGACGGTGGGAGGAAGCCGGAGTACCCGGAGGGAACCCACGCAAACACGGGGAGAACATGCAAACTCCACACAGAAAGACCTGATGGTGGAATTGAACTCAGGACCTTCTTGCTGTGCGGCAACAGTGCTAACCACCGTGCCACCGTGCCGCCTTTAACCCTCTGCTTCCTCCTAATTGCTAACCTTTGACCTGCTCTCAGGTCAGCGCATGGATGTAAGCATGCCCTCAGTCATGGTGCTGTGTGACCACGCGGCCGTGTCGGAGGGGGGGGGGGGGGGGGTGTCGTCATTTGTAAAAGTCGACTACTATGAGGAACGTGTCCATAATCAGTACAAGTGTGTGTGTCTGTGTGAAGTCAGCGCCCCCCGCTGCCATGGCGTGCATACCTTGTAGATTTTGGGTGCTCTGGGATTCGTCCCCACGTCAACCACGTAAATTCGGGACGAGACGAGTGACGGCAGGATCAGGAAGTTTCTCTTCTTGGAGGCGTCGTCGAAGCAGCTGCTGCAGGCGTTCCAGCCGGAGTGATGCAGCTCGTCACGAAGATTCGGCATCGGCAGCCGGTGGATCACCTGTGAGGGCATGGGTCAAAGGTCACAATGCACTACAGCACTGTTCTTAACGTTCATCTGTGACTGAGGAAGAGGAGGCAACTGACTCTGATGTTAGATATGAAACTAAAGGAGAAGGAGGAAGTCCTCGGCTTCCAGCGGGGCTCAGCTCTACCTGGCAGTAGGTGGGGGATTTGGGGTTCACGTCCACAGTGGCCAGGTAGTCAGGTTTCAGGATGCCGGTGTTGCGGTATATGCAGGGCAGGTAGATGATCTCCTCCCGAGGACCTTGAAGCACAAATAGGTGTGAGCTGTGAAGAGGACCTGCTGAGGACCCAAACCCCAACTTCTCCTAAACATGCAGGGACCGCGACCACGCCACAATGCAGCGTCTGACCCAGACCCGGATCTCACAGCTTCTACAGCCGAAGAATATATATAAATACAAGTCAATAAGTTAAGAGTGTAATTAGGATAAGGCTTTTGATTACAGAGTCCCAAATAGGATAAGTTAGGGAGATGCAGGAAAAGGTGTTTTGTTTCCTTTGCAGAAGATCTCGGCGACCACAGGGGGTGAGGATCCTGGAGGCCCGAGACAAGAGAGGGACGCAGAAAAAACCTAAGCTTACGCAGGGAGTGCTCTCGAGTGGGAGCTGGTGTTTATTACTGGACCAATTGGCTGACATGAGGTTGTCTGATTTGCTGAGCGAGGACACAATGTATTGCGACCTCTGGTGTTCCAGAGGTCGAGAGAGGGAGTGTGGAGCAGGGAAATTATTTTACTGCTATTGGTAAATAATCATCATCATTACCATTGCATTAATAATAGAATCTGCAGCATTGATATTGTATTCAGAGGTTTAAACAGTGTGTGTGTCTTTTAGAAAGACTAAGTTGCAGGCTGACAGGAAGTTGCAGAGAGTTTGCAGAAGGGAAAGCAGAGTCTAAGTTATTCTGAGCAGGCTAGACGAGGCTATTTGAATTACTAGGTTATTCAAATTGGTTCTTGATTAAAACATTTATTCAACATAGTACATGTAGTTTCAGTTAGGTTATTACACATAAGGATGAGCCTCTGGTCTGGTAAAAGGTCAGAAGTGCAACGGGTGAATTGAGAGAACATTTGAGGACGACACACACACACACACTCAGTTAGAGAATCATTTATAGGTGGAAGTTTAATCATGTTTTGCTTGGGGTTGCAAAAGAGCAGTTTGTCACAGAACTGCTGCTGAGGTGTCAAGATGACAAGAGAGCATCCGGCAGTGACAGGAAGTACCGGCCATGAAGATAGAAGACAACGTTCCTTTAAACTGTGTTAAAAGTCATTGTGGTTTTGATCTGACGTGTGTATATATTCTGTCTGTGACGTATGAAGGGGCGTCATTAATTCAAACCCTGATGCTATAAAAGTCTGTGTATGCTTTGATTAAGTCGAAGATCAAGTGCTGTCTGCGTACAGTGGTCTTCCCACGCGTGTATTCATTAAAATCAATTGTTTGACCAAGATCTTCTGGACCTGGTTGTTTGTACTCTCCTTCCTCAATTATGTGGACCTTAACAATCTCAGCCAAACATCTGGATCTCCAGCCTGCAGGAAAGGTCCACAGCTGGGCCAAACCAGTGCAGAGCCGGAAGCAGACCTCCACCCAACCAGGCGCCAGGGCTCTGGTTCTGGACCGAGTTATCTGCTGAGCGACCTCTGACCCCTGATATCCTGCTTAAGTTTAACAGGTCAGAGTGATTCGGGCTGCTGTGATGTCTTCAAAAGTGCTACCTGTTACTTTTTCAGAAAGCTCAACACCGAGCGTCAGGGTGGGCGTGTCATTGTTGGCCCTTTAGGCCCGCCCACAATGCAGCGTCAGCCCCGACTAGGTCTCACTTCAAAACAGAAACAGAACAAAGAAGCCTGTGACCTTACCGTACACTACTAAATTCCCATTTGCACTATTTGCCTATTTTGCACCACTATGCCTTCTTACTTGAATATTGTATATTGTATATTGCATAGCTTTTTTTTGTTATACGTAAAATTGTATTGTATTTATTTAAATTTATTTAAATTTTTACTTTTTAATTATTTTATTTGCATTTTTCTAATCACTAGGGTTTGAGAGTAACGCAATTTCTATTCTGTGTATGTCCTGTACATGTGGCAGAATTGACAAATAAAGTTGACTTGACTTGACTTGACCTCAGCACAGGTCATGTGACACAAGCAGCAGGTTCCCCCTTTGTTTTACCTGCTGGCTAAAAGACACACGCAGCTGATGGGCTCACCCTTCATGGCGTCCAGTGGGCTGCGGTATCCCGGTCCACATCCTGAGCAGCTTGCTGAAAAGTACCAAAGGTCAAAGGTCGTTAAATCCCGTTGTGTGCGTTTCCAGGCAGCTGCACATGAAGAGGATCTCACTGCTGACACAACATCGAGACCTTCAGTCTGTCCCATGAGCAGGGACCGACACCTCTGACCTGTCTGGGGTCAAAGGCTGTGTGGATCATTTTATTTCACTCACTGCTCGTCTGTTTATGACGTGTTTATCTGCGATGGTTACCGCGGGCAACGCTCTGCGTTCCTGCTGTTAATGTTTGACCCTCATTTTAGCGAGCTTTACGTGTTGCGTAAATAAAGTTTACGCACACAGACACACACACACACAAGCACACACAAACACACACGCACACAAGCACACACAAACACACACGCACAGACACACCTGCCTGCAGTTTAAAGGAGCAGCTGCTGTTTTCAATATTCGATAATCAGGAGACTCTCTGAAGAAGTGTGCTGCTGCTTTTCAGCTTTTTCCTTTTAAACAAATTTAAAGTGAAACAACACAAAACACTGCAAACCACAACACAATAAAATATGGAGAGAAAAAAAAGGGGGGGGTGGGGGGAGAACGCCCAGATCTTTAATTAAGGGAAAGGTTGTCATTTAGAAATATTAATATCACACTCAACTGACTGCGTTTTATCTTCCCATTGCACTGATGGGTGGACAGTTGTTAGGTGCCTGTGCATGTTGTTTGTGGAGCCGGCTCTATATGATATCCTTTTCTTGTAGACTCTACACTCTACCTTTGTTTTGTCATAAGATTGAAATGGTTCCAGACTTTGCTTCTTTTCTTGGTGTCACTCATTTTCTTTACTGCACCTTTCCAATGTAAGGGTGTTGTCTCTTGTTGCTCCCGGCTCTCTTTCTTTCCCTCTCCCTCCTGCTCTTGTTGTGTGCTACTGCTGTTGCGAGTGTAACTACCGCCCCGCCCCCTCAAACGCAGGGCTCTGTTTGCCGTCTCTGCTCAGCGCAAACACAAGGGACTTGCAGCGTGAAGCGAAAAAAAGTGAAAGAGAGGGCAAGAGAAAGAAAAAAACCCCAAAAAACCCACGGAGCTGGCTCGCATCGTTCACTTCAAAGACCTGGCTCTAAGAGCCATTTCGTTCGCGACCGACCCATCACTAATCAGAGACTCCTTGTCTTCTTAAAAACACAACACAACGCAGAGTCAAGGAGTCTGTTTGGGCCGAACTGTTGCAGCGGGACGAAGCAGAAACCGATTACACCTGCTCCTCCTGGGGGATACTAGGAGAAGGAGAAAAGTGGACTCACCCATGTCTGAGCTCCAGTTTGATGTGATCCAGCAGGTCTGGACTCCCTCAGACCAGACCCGCTGTAAAAACACAGGAGGCGGAGTCTCCCTGCTTGACTGTCACAAAAGAGCCAGTCAGAGTGCAGCAGTGGGGGCCTCTAACACACATTAACCCTGAACAGCCCAGAAACACTCTGAGCTTCCAGCTGTTTCCCAGGCAACCACAGCGCCGTCCGAGCTGCATGCATCGCTGCAGCACTGTGCAAAAAGCCATCATTCTTATTGTTATTAGAATTATAATAAGACTTCCAGCTTCAATTCAAGGCTCTAAAGTTTTCTATGAGACGCTTGTGACAGATTTTTATAAACAGTCACACAACTGACTGCAGAACAGGTGAGGTCTGCTCTTCATCACAGATGAAGCAGGTAACAGACCTGGAGCTGATTCAAAGCACTGAAGTAGGTCTGAGACCTGAACACGACAGAATCTTTCCCGTGGTGGGAAAAACATCTTCACAGCCTCTAAAACAGTCAGAAACGAAGCTATAGCCAAATTAAGAAACAACAAATCACCAGGAGCAGACGGATATGCTGGAGAGTATTATAAAATATTTGAGAACGAACTTACCCCCATACTCTGCAAAGTATATAATTATGCTCTAAATTCAGGAGATATTCCAAAGTCATGGTCAGAAGCTATTATTACAGTTCTACATAAAGAAGGAAAAGACCCCATAAATTGTACAAGTTATCGACCAATAAGTCTCCTGTGTGTAGACTACAAAATTTTAACATCCATACTAGCCACTAGAATCCAAAATTATATAAAGAAATTAGTGGAACGTGAACAGACAGGATTCATTAGAGGAAGGCCCTAAATCTACAGTCAATAGCAAAAAGAGATGAAATGCCATCAATGTTCCTTAGTCTGGATGCAGAAAAGGCGTTCGATCGAGTGGGCTGGATATTCCTTCAACAAACACTGTTAACAATGGGATTTGGAGGAACATTTGTTACATGGATCAACTCTCTATATAAAGAGCCTAGGTCAAAGGTCAGGGTTAACGGATGCTGTTCTGATCTATTCAAGATAGAAAGGGGTGTGAGACAGGGGGACTCACTGTCACCCATCCTCTTTGCGATTAGTATAGAACCCTTGGCTGAGGCCATACGTTGTAATACGCAAATCCAAGGAACGGAGGATGAAGGAGGAATAGGATAGCTCTTTTTGCTGATGATACTTTACTTTTTATTAAAAACCCACTTCTTTCCATCCCAGCACTTATGGAGTGCCTACACAGGTATGGGTCAATCTCAGGATATAAGATTAATGAAAATAAATCAGAGGCAATGATGCTATCTGGAGAATGTCCTATGCAATTAAAATGAAAGGGTTTCCTTTCGCTGGCCTAGACAGGGATTCAGATACCTGGGAATTACACTTACAGCAAAACCTAAGCAACTATATGAAACTAATTATAACAAAGTCATTGGACAAATAAAGAAAGATATATCACGATGGGACATTCTACCCCTCTCTTTATTTGGAGGGGTTGAAGTGGTGAGGATGACTCTCTTACTCTTACTCTGGCTTTTGTTTTTATTTCAATCATTGCCGGTAAGAGTTTACTACTCTACTTTCAGTATGTTAAATAAACAAATTTCCACATTCATTTGGCAAAAAAAAGAGACCCAGAATACGACTTAAAACTTTGCTGACCTCAAAAGAAAAGGAGGGACTGGGACTGCCAAATTTTAAATACTGTTCCTGGGCTGCACAGCTAAACGCAGAGGTGGCATGGAAAAGAAAGGACCAGGAAACTGGACGGGTTCAGATAGAACAAAGCACGGTAAGAATGTACCCTTATTAACATTGCCTTTCATTGATGCAAAATTGATCAAATACCTAAAAATAGAGAATGATTGGATAAAACATACCCTGAAGGTGTGGCCAGCGATAAGGAAAACATTGGGGGGCCAGTGAGGGGCAATATAGAATTCCTGCCTTCTGTGTGGGACAGTGGCTTTAGTAGACGGACCAATGCAGCCTTTACACAATAAATCAGTTATTTAATGGAACAGAGCTCAAATCATTTAGCCAGCTCCAAGAACCATTCCAACTTCCTCCTAAAGGTTTATATAGATACCTTCAGATAAGACATTATATCCTAAACCACAAAGAAACAGACCTGATCAATAAATTTCCCAACAGCATAGAAGAATAATTTATTAACATTATAGAAAAACATCTCCCAACTAAGAAAGATGTCTCTCATATTTACAAAAGGCTTATAAATGAGTGATGCCAAAATACAGGCCATATTAAAGAGAAATGGGAACTAGAACTAAATATTATTATTACTGATAATGTATGGGAAGAGCTGTGTAAACCTTGTCACAAGGGAATAAGTAATCAATTATGGAGAGTTTGACTGGAAGTTTAAAAAGAGATTTTTTAATACACCTCTTGTTATCTCCTCATATTGTAAGGAACCCAATGCAGAACTATGTTGGAGAAAATGTGGGGGAATAGGAGAGCATTCACATATCTTTTGGGACTGTCCAATAATTCGAGGTTTCTGGATAAGAATCAAAGAAGAAATAGAGAAAATCCTACAAGTAAATATTCCACTAAACCCAACCATATTTCTCTTGGGAGTTAAACCTAGAGAGATGAAAAATATATTCTGCGGATACTCTTACTAATAGCTAAGAAAATGATAACTGTGAAATGGAAACAAACAAGCTCACCATCCACAACACAATGGAAACAGACTGAAAAGAGTTCCCACAATGGAACGAATGACAGCAAGCTTGAAACTGGAGATGAGGATCTACCAGAGATGGAACTGTGTGGCTAGTAGTGATGGGTTGGTCACGAACGAAATGGCTCTTAGAGCCAGGTCTTTGAAGTGAACGATGCGAGCCGGCTCCGTGGGTTTTTTTTTCCCCTTTCTCTTGCCCTCTCTTTCACTTTTTTTCGCTTCACGCTGCAAGTCCCTTGTGTTTGCGCTGAGCAGAGACGGCAAACAGAGCCCTGCGTTTGCGCCCCTCCCCTCTCTGCTCAGCGATGAGCTGAGGGGGCGGGGCGGTAGTTACACTCGCAACAGCAGTAGCACACAACAAGAGCAGGAGGGAGAGGGAAAGAAAGAGAGCCGGGAGCAACAAGAGACAACACCCTTACATTGGAAAGGTGCAGTAAAGAAAATGAGTGACACCAAGAAAAGAAGCAAAGTCTGGAACCATTTCAATCTTATGACAAAACAAAGGTAGAGTGTAGAGTCTACAAGAAAAGGATATCATATAGAGCCGGCTCCACAAACAACATGCACAGGCACCTAACAACTGTCCACCCATCAGTGCAATGGGAAGATAAAACGCAGTCAGTTGAGTGTGATATTAATATTTCTAAATGACAACCTTTCCCTTAATTAAAGATCTGGGCGTTCTCCCCCCACCCCCCCTTTTTTTTCTCTCCATATTTTATTGTGTTGTGGTTTGCAGTGTTTTGTGTTGTTTCACTTTAAATTTGTTTAAAAGGAAAAAGCCGAAAATTTAAGTAGTTAAAAGTTGAAATGTAAATAGTTGGTTTTTGTATTTTATAATTTATTTGTTACATTTTACGTGGAGTTAATATATAAAAGTATATTTACAGTGGCCCCTAGAGACAAAGCACGTACAAACTCCAAAACACAACGGAAGTGCTCCAGGATGCTAGGGGCCGTGTTGAGCTTTTGTTACCTAGTGGCTACACAAGCCAGGAAGTACCAACAATCGGATTGGGTATGTGGTAGTAACAGGTAAATTAACTTTTTTAAATTATTTGAATGAAAAAATTATATATATATATATATATATATATATATATATCCGAATTTCCCAGAGGAACCCACCCGAGGGATTAATAAAGTTCTGTCTTACCTTATATACACACACATAAATATTTATATATATATAAAGAAAACCAAGTTTTTTTACATTACTAATTCCTTTTGTGCATAATTTTATATTGTTGTCCATAATTAATTAATTAAAGCAACAAAGCAACCTGAAGAGCCGGTTGGGAGCCAAAAGAGCTGGCTCTTTTTAGTGAGCCGAGCCGAAGGAGCCAGTTCTCTAAAAAGAGCCGGAAATCCCATCACTAGAGGCCAGATACTTGGGTGAATGAACTCTGGAACATTGTAAATCTCTATAAATCTCGCCTATGACATGTTTTTCTTTCTTTCTTTTTCTTAAATGGTCTTATGTCAGAGAATGTTAATATGTTGCCTGTTTGTTTGGTTGTTTATCACCACAAAAATTACTAAAGAAAATGTTCTAAAAATAAAAGTCAGAAACGGCGTGGAGGACGATCGCAGCTCTACGGCTGAGAGATGGCATCATAGATGGAGATACGGAGTTTACAGCAAGGTGCAAACCTCTGGGTACACTCAGGAAGGACATCTAAAGAGCTGCACAACATCTGAAACTGTGCCTGAAGGAGTGCCTGACGAGCCCAGTTGTAAGTAAGCTATTAAGACTCGACTGTACACCGTGTTCGTGTTTTCCTCCGAAACATTAAGCAGCCTTTCAACGCCTCTCTCTGTCTCTCGCAAGAAAAGTTGACCCACACAACAAAGTAAAGCTATTTTTCGGCTACGAGCCGACAGGGACCCCGCCGTATTAGTCAGAGGTCCCTTTACTACAGTTCGGAGTCGCGGACCTTCAGTAACAGTAATAAATCACACAGCAATAGTACATTCACGTTGTTGTAAAAAGCATGATAATATATTAAGTAATCCAAAGTATTCAGCATACGTTACTGTCATTGAGTAACGTAACGGAATACGTTACAGAATACATTTTGGGGCATGTATTCTGTATTCTGTAATGGAATACATTTTAAAAGTAACCTTCCCAACACTGCTCGTGATGCATTTGACTTTTCATTTTATCTGCAAGCATTTAATCATTTATTTTAGCTGAATATTGTTGCTGAACATTTTCTGAACTTTCTGTCCTTAAAGGCCATTTTTTCCTTTACTTGTGTAGCTCTGCAATAACTTGCACTAAAGGTGTTTGAATAACAATAAAGTTTGATTATTGATCACAATTTATTCAGAGCTTTGAGGGAAAAGTGTCTCTGAGTGACTTGTTATGAAAGCGTCCTCCTGCATTGTCATTGTCACTCAGACTCTGAACCCGCTGGTCGGTTTGGTTTAGTTTCAGCAGCTCGTCAAGCCAACAGCAGGTAAACCTGATAAGATAA